TTACATGTCAACGTTTTGTTATATTTTCATTAAAAACGTTCGGAACATATAATATCCAGCAACTCCCAAGGAAGGAGGGAATTCAAGATTTATCATTTTCGCATTCAAAAAAGCGATCCCTCGGTCCTTTTATATCCGTTTTCATCCAAATCAAAACCGGAAATCGTTGATATGTGAGCAAAATCCGTTTGATTCCACATCTCCTTTACACGGCTATTTTATATCTCCTTTACATCGCTCTTCACTCCGATTGACTGCGTTTTCAGCATACGAATTTAATTATCTGGGTCTGCATTTGACATAACTCGGAAACTACATTTGAAAATGGATCCGTAAAACTGAGTTGATTCAATTCATATGCTCTTTTGAGTAATATAAAGTCGAATAAAGTTGAAAACTTGTTTAGTTATTGCACTTGCACATTGTATCGATTAAGCGTAGTTTGATATAAGGACATTAAAAAAAAGTGTTTCGATAGTGTAAACGCTTGAATGGAGCTGAAAGTTGGTTTGGTCGGCTCAATTTTTCTCCATAATATATGCATAAATAAATGTGTCTGCATTTTGGCGACTACTTAGCAGAGTGCATAATTTTTACTTTCAGTAACGAATTATAAGCTTAAATAATTAAATAATAAATAGTTAGAATTTATAACAGATATATGAGAACAGTAAACTTTCAACTTAACTCAGTGGTTCAACTCAAATTGAGGTGTTCAATCTGAGCTTCTACGACTTTCCACTTGTTAAGAATTTTTAGGGCAACTAAGAAGCGTTTTCAATAAATTTCCTTAATAGAATAAGTGCAAAATAATAAAAAAGTGCCCGCATAACATATTTTTTATATAAGGTATAACAAATACACCCTTCGAATATTAAATATCGATCAACGTACATCATTTGCAAACACATGAGTAAATATGATTTCAGTAAGTTCATTTAGTAGATGGTCGGGGCCGATAAAATACTATCCAGATTCGTGTATAGACGCCTACGAAATATTGACGTATGTTTAACATTAGAAAAAATAATAAACGAGGTGAAATATATGCGATCAAACATGAGTAGCAAATGGAATTCGTGATGGGCGCAAATATTGATTAAGCTCAAAAAGCGTGTGTCGTGGAAACAAAAAACACAACTGAACTTTTCATGAGGTTCAAGAGCCAGAGAAAATTAATGATTTTATACCCACTTCAAACAGAAAAGAGAAAAGCAATTACAAACATGTTTGTAACGACGGTGATTTTTTAATAATTTCAATACTTGACTACGCACTTTATAAGCGTTTATGCGTCCGACATAAGTAAGTAAGAGACAGTAGAGACAGATTGTATGAAGAATTGCAAACAGTAGTGAACAAAATAGGAGCAGGAGATAAAACGGTTATTACGGGTGACCTAAATGAAACAATAGGAAATGAACCACTGGATGACACAATGCAGATATTTATCGAAGAAACCACAAACGAAAATGGGGATCTACTGAAAATGTTCTGCACAAACAATAACATGAGAATTAACAAAACTTTCTTCGAACATAACATGAAATTCACATGGCAAAATACAAAAGGACAACAGTCGGTATTAGACTATATTTTCTCAAACAGAGAGGTCGTACCCGAAACAATATTGGATGTAGGAACTCTAAATGGCGCCAACTCTGGAAGCAATAATAAGATGAAATTTTACAAAATGAGACTGAATATACCCAAATCCACAAAACCTAAACCGCAAGTAATTAGCAAATTCAATGTCGAATCATTAGAAGATCACAGCACAAAACATCTGTATGAAGATCGATTAAACCCGGAAATACTACAAAGACTAGTGAATACCGAAGAGAGCATAGACCACCAATGGAAGACAATAAAAAATAACATATTAGATGCGGCCATGGAAGCAATAGAAAAGCTACAGGTAAACATCAATACAATTAACACATGGTTCATATCGGAAGTGAAAGAAGTAGTAGAAGAAAGAATATGCTCATCAACACCCAGAAGACTAAATGTTTAGTAATATCAAAGAAACCGATAAGCTGCAAGCTGGAAATCGACTCCAAGATCCAAGTAAACCATTTAAAATATTTGGGAGCAGATATAACGAGCCATGGAGTAAGAGTAGGTGAGTAAGAGAGCAAACAATGAAAACGGCTCGAAATTCGGGATGTTTGAGAGAAATTGTTTGGAAAAACAAATACCTAAATACGAAAATCAAAATCAAGATACATAAAACGGCAGCAAGACTCATACTAGCAAGGGCAGCAGAAGCAAAATCGTATACAGGCAACAGGCAATAGCCTACTAATATGTATCTATATTAGATAGAAAGAAGAACACTTGACTGCATCCATAAATCATATTAAACAATTTGCTTGATATGAATATTTCATCTCAAGAAGTAAAGTTGATAGATTCATGTAAAGTGCACTTTTATTTGATTGTTTAGTTTGTACTCAGTTATATTCTTGTTCAGAGAAATTTCGACTTTAAAGGCAATTTTGAACAAAAACTCGAAATTTCGACATGAAACACAAAATTTTAATTTGGAATTTTCACATCGAGAAAAATATTTAAACTTGCACCACATTCATTGAACTCCAAATAGAGAACAATACTTAAGGGAAAGTATTGTTTTGTTTGGTTTTCACGTGACACGCTTTAAATTGTAAATTTGTTTGTTGTTTTTCCGCTATTTTTTACTTCACACGGTGTTTGTTCTATGTCTCAATTCCGAAAATAAAGTCGTAATGTTAAATACTAATTTAAAATTATTTGGCAAAATTTCGTGTTCGGTTCAAGTTAAAAATTATCAAGAGAAAACCACGATGATCGAACTTTCATAGAACTTTCCAAAAATTGCATAGATTTTGCGCATTTCACTTGGACAGTTTATTATTTCCTATAGCAAAATGAAACAGACGAAAATATCAACAACCAAAGTATTGGGTGGTTAAGAAGTCTAATAATAGATAAAATGAGGTAAAACGAGCCGGACAAAAAGACTATAGAAAGTAGTTACTTTAATGAAATATTTGATATATTGCGCCGCAAAATTAAGTAGCATAAGCCATCAGAGTTTATTTATTTATTTATTTATTTTAGTTCAATTTGGAACAAATTATATGAATACAAAATGCACAAATAAAACTGCGTCATTTATAGGTTATTTTTAAGGAATTGTTTTAAGGAATTGTTGGAAAGAACTTGGTTTACTACATAAAAAGCTACGTTTAACGAAAATTCCCAATTTTATAACGCAAAAATTATATTCTCTCTATTAACCATTAACGTTGGCAGCAAAACTGTTTTACTCTTGTTTGTGTACCATTTTTCTCTAAAACAACTGACACAAAAGTGTTTGACGGAGGGCACCTGTGTTGGAAACTATCTCCAACATCTGAGCTATTGAAAGATGGAGAAACGGTCAGTTAGGACAAGGTAAAAGTGTTGGCAAAATATAGACAAACGTTCAGTTGTCTATTTCAAATAGTTTTTCAAATACGTTTTATTTCCCTGAAAAATAAAACTAACAAAAATCATCTTCAACACCTCCCGAGTAAAATGGGAAAATTAAGTTTGGTTTGCTCTGTATATAACGGAACGATTAAATTCTTCTGAATTCTTTTGGATGGAAAATATAAACCATTAAGCTCGTAAACTCTTTTATTGGAACATGAAGTTTTGAAAAGTTAAAATCTTTTGATGAAGATTTATTATTTCGAGCAAATAGACTTAAAATGGAGGATTCATATTTTAAAGTACACACAAATTAGAGCCCAGTTATTAATAGTTCATATTTATTGTTTCTTTGCTGGAATGAACTATACATGGTTGATACAGAAGCAGAAAACCAAATTATATGTATTGTAAACTTTTTATTACTGGCTATTTCAAATGTATTTTTACATTTTCACATAAAAGACCCGACTGCTTTAACCAAATACACTAATGTGATGCATAATGTATTCAAGGTGTTCGACGTGGAAAGTCCGAGTTTTAGTACAAAAATTTTCACAAAATGCACAAAAACACCAAAAATTATTAATCATTTTGCTGTAAAATCCTATTGAAAAAAATGTTATTTTCTGTTTTGGATTTATGAAATTAACATCGGCTCAGCTTGCTAATCGATCTGCACACATAGAGGTCCTTTTATCGCATTAATTATTGAAAACTGACACTGGCACGCAGAAAGGTCGATGTGCGCCCGTCTAAGCAAGGTAATGAACTGGAGAAATATGGCTCAAAAAATGCTTATAACTTAAATATAGATTTATGGAAACCTTAATCTTCGGACACTGCCCGATAGTAAAGATCTCTCTATGGAAGCTTGCACAAACTGGGCGAAAATAATATTATATTCGATATGACAGTAATCATTGTACCTATTTAATTATAAATAACTGGGAAGTTTTTGTTCATGTTAATGATATGCATTTGATTTTCTTTTACCAAACAGCGAAAACTTTCTCACGCAGCAATGCCGGAAAAGCGTCTTATGACTTCCGGGACAAGGTTTTCATAAATTACACAGCTTGCAGGAAGCATCAACACCTTTTTTGATTTGAAAAATCATTTATTATCCGTGGCAAACTTTCTAAATATAAGGATGACTGGAAGATTAACCATAAAAATCTGTGTTAATTGCCGAATTAGCATGATGAGTATTATCAATTACTATCGTTAAACTTCTGAACATTGTTAATTAGCAGTTGTTAAAAAATTCTCAGTTTATTTCAATGACGAATGAATTTTTCAGTTTTTGAAAGAAAATGCATATATTTAAATCGTAAATATAAAATAGTATCCTATGAGAGATACATTAAAAAACATATATTTCAATGTCACACTTTTTATATTTCCGGTCTATAATTTCAAACGAAGTTGCCACTGCCATCAAATTTACATATTTTCTATTATTTTTGTCTTCGTCGAGATATAAATTATATGTGTTTTTTCAACGTGTTAAGTAGACTTTTATTTAGCAAAAATATTACCTTGGAATGTCTCCTATTTTTGGCGCTCTGGATTTTCGACAAGCACACCCATCTTGCCATAAATTTGCTGAAACAAAAAGTATTATTAAAACAAAAGAAAAATACATTTCAATTACAATAAATTTTTGGCTAATCATGAGAATATTTACATTGCAATTTGAATCATATTTTCATAATAGCACCAAAGTGGAAATTTAAATCTTAACCAGAAACTAGCTTAGTCTATGCACTTATAAATAAGCCTGGTGAGTAGCAACATCAAGTAACTCACTAGCAAAATAATGTTAAATTCTACGGCAGTTTACGTTATAAATAACCAGAACGAGATATAATGAAAAACCATACAAGAAATAAGCGTGTGTTAAATTCCGCACTAAGTTTAATTGAGAACACTTTAAACTGATAGACACCGCTTGTGAGTGTGCTTAATTGATGTGCCAATTGGTAGTCAATTAAAGACGGTGGGTAAATAAATAGATACTTATCTGTTCACATTGTATGTCATTTGCAGTAAATTTGGTTTGATTGATATTAGTGGCTACATTGAACCACCAGTATGTTATTCATATTTTATAACAATTAAAACGCAGATTTCAATAATTTTTGTCTGATAAATACTTTTCAACATATCCTGGTGGCAAATTTCAAACCAGCTTTCTTAAACAATGCTAAGAATGTTTTGGCTGATAAAACATTTTTTATATATTTTTTGGTTTGCTTAAGTTGAGACTTCGTATTAAAAATATGTGAACATAATCAATATAATCTCCTACTTGTACAGAAGCAAGAATTCACAAAAAATTGAAATGTTAATCTTGGGAAACTTTCAAAACCTAAATTACAAAATTCGAATTCAATTCAGTAATGTAACTGCACTCTTCATCGGACACGACAGCCCTTTCCTCATAAAGTCCAATTTTGGATCATTTAATATATATGTGTTTAGTCTTGGCTCTAGTAAACATCTCGTACATGCATTCCCTTTAGTGGTGCCTTTACGTTGACTATGTTCCATTATTTAACTTTAATCTTTAAAAATTCGTCCAGTTCTTGTAAATAAAGTATATCTTTGCCAAAACTTTGCAAACCCTCCACCACATACGTATTAAAAATTTTCAATGCAATCTTGTCTTTCTAATATATAAAGCTTTTAATAATTAATAAAATTTTATTACAATCAAGCGATTTGGATAATTTTTTTGGGCTATTTTCATTTCAACCATTAACCAATATGAATGTTGTCCATAAATTGCATCATTTTGTTAAAACTTCTTTTATAATTGATGCATCCTGATGAATTAAAAAAAGAAATGTTAAGCTAAACATCAACAGCTAAGAGAAATGTTAAACATGAAGATAAACAATTACTTGTTAATCACAAAATATATGTATAATATGTTATTTTCTTCCGCAGGATGTTTACAAATTCAGGTAAAAAAACAACTAATGGTTTCACCCTGAATAATGAAAGACCACTTCAAATTTTTTAAACTTTTCATACTAATCAGTGATTAAGATGAAAATGACTGCTGTAGCCCAAAAAAATTACCATAATCGATTTATAACTAAAAAAGTTATGTAAGATTTGAACTGGGTTATAGTTATCGTGTGCGGATTTTTTTTCTCCAGGAGTGTATATTATTTAACAGGCACTTAATGAAATTTCAGAAACAGTACTTTTACTATTTATGGATACTTCTCTATTTAAATTAAATAAATTTGAAACTAGCAAAATTAATTTGGTTGATACGACCTTAATAATCTTTTATGTAAATGATAATGTGCTCATCTTAATTAATGTGTTTAATACTTTGTACTTCGAGAGATTTTTACGATTATTTAAATTTGATAATTTAGGCCATTTAAATAATTGGGCAAAACAACTGACAAAAAACAAAAACTTACCAAACTTGCGAAGTAATGGGGTATAAATTATTAGAAGAATTTAACACTTGATATCACTTAAATACAGAGGCAAAAGCATCAACATCAAAACTAAAACGTAGGAAACATCTGCGAAAATGCTCGGCTATAAATCATCAGAAGAATTAACCATTTGTGATCACAAACAGACAAAAGTAAAAGTATCAGTACCAAAACCGGCACAGAAATTTACAAATCAATCTATAGATCACTGCTAATATAGGCTATGGAAACATATTAAGAGAAAACGCGTCCGAAAAAATTGAACAATACTTACAGAAAACAGAACATTTGGCACTAAACAGAGTTTAGAAAAATTAAAGATTCTCAGAATACACTTTGCAATCGATCCATCAAACTTCCATGCGAACTCACACCAATAACAAGAATAAATGAAGCACTGCCACACATCCAGGTAAAGTGAAAGGACAAGCCACAGGAACTATCCTGATCCTGAACCCTCTTTCCCAAGAAGACAAATTAGACAATCTCGATTACGATTCCCTTCCTTGACCCTAACGCTTACGTTTAGAATACTTTCGAATATGGAAAACAAAATAGAATGGACTGAAGTCCGATTAATCAATGGCCTCTTCCATCAACATATACTATTTATTATTTAAAAATGTGTTTGAATGCACTTAATTTTATTATTAAGATACTGGCGAAGGTCAGATGGAACAATATCCCCATACAAGTTACCCTGAGTATGGAATTATCATAAATATGCTGGAAGCACGTAACAGCCTATCAAGCTCTGGGGAGCTTGAAGACATTAAGCACGTACCACCTTTCTTTCAGTTCGACGTTCACTTTATATTTAAATTTAATAATTGACATTTTTCGTTTTATTGAATGGATTTTAGATAACTCGTTGTTAAATTAAATATTGAACATTTGAACTATGAATTTAGTTTCAGAACATTTCTTCTGTAACGTGTAAATTATTTTTATTTAGGTTTTATTTTATTAACTTTTTCTCATTACTTATCCAAACACACCTATTGCTGTCTCATATCTTTAAGGAAAAATGAGTGCAAGCACCACAGCTTTGGCCAGTTTTCCCAAAATACATGTTCTTTGTCAATGAATTACATAATATAATTTGCATCTTGTTAATCATTATTCACTGGGAATCGTATGGCCTGCTGCTTCTATTCCCAACTTTTCTTAATTACTCTAAATTGTTTCTGCAGCATATCACGCAAGGTCCCATTATAATGTGCTGAATATACATTTAACTGGTGTGGCGAATGGCGGTAAACTATATTCTTGTTAACAATTATAATTATGATGTGATAATATACATTGGGAATGTACGTAGTTAGCCAAGTCATGTAAATAAGATAATAAATGGGTTTTTAAAAACAGACGAATTTTGTGCGAATATCAAATATGTTTATTTATGCGGTCTAGTTGTAATAAATAATACGCATCCATAGTACAGTGTTCCCACGCTTTTCTACTTAGTGAATTGTCATCAGTTTTTACACCCAATATACTTATGGATAATAGCATTTATATTCAATAGGGTCAACGTATTGATCGAAAAACTTTGACTTGTTTTCAGTTTGTTAAATACCGTTTGTATAATGAAAGATAGAAAGATACGTAAAACGTATTTTTAAGATTGAACAAGAAGAAAGTTTCGGAAATCATTATTTGATTAATTACATGGACTTTTCAAATTAAATGTCTATTATTATGCGAGCCTGAATAAATACGCTTTTAAGTATAAAACGTAATTAAATGAGCAGTTAATTTTGCTCCAAATAACACGCGTTCCACTGACATAAAATTAATTAATTCTATTTGAATAGTATAAGGCAATTTCTAAACGTTTTGTTGTAGCTAAATGGTTATTTCTACCTTATACATATAATGAGCTAGCAACGGGATTTTTATGATTTGTTAACCCACCCTGTAGTAAATGTAAAAATTATATAGTAAAAGACGGAAAAATTAGAAAACCAACAATATAAAACAACCGAAAAATAAGGAAGGGGTCTGAATAAGACAAGTGAATGAAATTATAGAGAGTGAGTACTTACAAGGAATTACTTCATGCTGGAAATAAAAGTTGAATAAAAGCAGTTGAAATAAAAAAAGGAGAATCATTAAAATGAAAAAGTTGAACAAGAACGAGAAAATTAGGACAAACAGTTATAGAATAAAAAAGTTAAAGAAGAGAAACCAAAAAACCTATGAGAAACCGAAAGAAGAAAGCAATTGACCAATCCGAAGATTTCATGGATGAGGAAAGGCAAAAATAATAATAATGATCGACATGTTAAAAGAAACGAAGACAAAAGTGAGACAAATACAAGCCAAGTACAGAATTATGAAACTGATTGGTGTACCTGAATGGGTATTTGCTAACAATTTAGTGTTGTTCGCTAAAAGCAGAATAGAGCTAAAACAGAAGTTAGTGGAGAGAAGCGTCATCGTCAAGAAACATGAAGATCAATATAGAGAAGACTAAAGTTCTGCTGGTGGCTCAAAAAAAGACCATAGAGGTAGATGAGGTGCAACTAGAACAGTAGACATTTTTAAAGACTTAAAAAAGTGCAGATACAATTCAACGGAAAATTGGAGGCAGAAATAAACGGAAAATATTAACGCACCAGTTAAAATAGGCTGAATTTTGTATAGGAAGAAACAGTAGTTCCATCAACAAAAAATTGAATGTTTTTGATATTTTTCGACCTGTACGCATTAATAGCAACTAGAATTTGGTACCAACAAGTACGTTCAAGAAAAATATTCAGGCAGTTGAGATGGAATATCTGAGAAAAGTAGAGGAAATCACCAGAAAAAATATAATCATATATGAAAGCCTAATAGAGGAACTAAAAGTGGAACAGTAAAAAGTCCGCAAATCAGACGGTTTGGGCAACTGTGCAAAATGAATGAAAAGAGAGGACAGTCTGTCTCTGAAAGAGACACACCATAATTTCAAAAATAGCGGCACATTTTTGTACATATCTCAGGAAAAAATTGAGCTAGCAGGTTAATGCACCACTTTCACACAAAAATCAAAAATCTCAAGATCACTATCAGCTTTGTACGCTTTTGGCAAAACTGCAACATCAAACCAAGCATGGCACCGCCTTCTTCGGTCATATCTCTAGAACCATTCTAGCT